TGAAGTGGATGATTTCTGCAAGGAGACAAAAAAAAATCAAATCCATTTCTCGCTCAGTCGGCCTCGTCATGCATCCTTAGCTCCATCTTAATTACATGTTTCATCATGTTGTTCTGTTCAGGAGGCCCCACAAAGGCTAATGCAGCAAGCCAGCAGAGCCAGCCTTAGGCACAGGCAGTTTCAGGAGCCCTATGGACCTGGCCCAGCCAGCCTTCCCCATAGCCCATTAGCCACAGGCCAGCTGTGTGGGACTCTTAGCCAGCCTGGTGTGCAGGGCAGGTGGCTCAAACCTTTTTGGCAGAGCTGCGAGCAGCCTCAGACCATATCCTGTGTGCTGGGGGACACCAGTCCGCCCACTGCAGGTTACTTTACTGGGGAGCAGCTGCTGTGGGGGGTGACTCATTCAGGCATGAAGCAGCAACTCCCGCCGCAGACACCACGCGTGGTGAGAGCAGGGCTGCGAGGTGAAGAGGGGGAAACACAGGGATGTGAGGTGTAATGGGGAAGTTAATGGGGGAGAGAAGGTGAGAGCCCTGGAATGGGTACCCTGCCTTAGTTGGGCCCTCAGGGCAGGTGAGAGGAGTGGAAAGTCGACAGACCTTATTTCCTTTGAAAGATGACTCTGGTGCCCTGCAGCTAAATTTTATTGGGACTCTGCACTGTGTAAACCCAGCCCTGCAAACTGCGTTTGAAAACCCATTGGTATTACATCTGGTGTTGAACACTTAGTGCTTAACTCATGGGGAGGGCAGAGGTCTGTGGTCAGTGAGGTAAGCTAAAGTGAGGGAAAGGGAAGGACGAGGGAGAAGTGACTCCAAGTGATGAGATAAAGAAGGAGGTGAGGGATTAGGTGATGGGTCAGGAGGCCAGCATGTGCCAGATGTGCTCTCTGTGGGGGAAAGCAGGAAGTCTGGTTGGGGAACCAGTGCCCTTGCAGGCCTGGAGCTGGGAGCAGGAGCAGCAGGAGGTAGCACTGGACATTGAAGTAAGGGCTGGAATCGGCTGGTGCAGCTCATTAAATGCTCTGTTTTGTCCTACACAAGGCTCACCCCTGGTGCAGGAAGGGTCCTAGCACACCTTCTGCAAAACCATCCTCCTGAACATCCCTAGGAGCAGATGCCTTCCCCACCGGCTCTTCCGGGTGCCACCGTTTACCTCATGGTCCCTGGGGGTGAGCATATGCAGTGAAAAGCAGCAGGCAGCAAAAAGCCCTGGTAATAAGGGGGCAGCTGGGCACCCTTTTTGTTCTCACTTACACTGCCAGGGGGGTGAACTCCTGCAGCCCCAGAGCAGCTCTACCTCACTGCAGACGTAAACCTGTATTTTCCTCCATCTTCCAGCTTAGCTTCCTAGTTAACGAGCAGTGTGGAAATAACATTCGGAAGGACTCGCTTCATCCGCTTTCCATTTCAAACAAGCTTTTTTGAGCAGCAAACAGAGCTCCTGCAACGCAGGCGGGTTCCAGAGCACAGAAGCTTTTCCCAGTGCAAGACAAGGGAGACAAGGGATGGGAAGGCACCGGCCAGCAGTGAAGAGAAGGGCCTGAGTGCCTCTGCTGTGACAGTAGCAGGTGGTCAGTGACCAAATGAAAGTAATTAATTTGCAAATGGCAGTTGGAGACACTGGCCTTCCAACTGGCGTTGTCAACAGCCTCCATGGGAAGAGGGCTTGTGGAGGGAGGGAATTTTTTTTTGAGGTGAAACACCAAAAGGAGCCCTCTTGCTTGCGGGTGGCTTTAGACTAGAGCAGTGAAAGAGGGAGACAAGGGGACACGGAGCCGGGCTGCTGGGAGCACAGCACACGGGATAAGGTCCTCACAAAGAGAATTGAAAATGAGGATGGGGAAATGGGATTTTCAGTGTGCGCATGTGCACATGCGAAGAGTTGGGAATGTCTGCTGTAAGCAAGCGTGCTGTTGAGAGTGGGAAGCAGACAGGTGAAATAATTTGACTGTTCCTGGAGGAGGAGTGGGAATGGGAGAGCCGCGTGATGCTCCATTCACTGCAGCCCCCTCCTGTCTGACTGCCTGCTTGTTCCAAGCCCTGCTCCCAAATGCTGCTCCCCTATGATCCTGTCCTGTTCAAACCACCGTCCTGCTGGCCATGATCTCAAACGATGCTGAGCGTTTGCAACTCCCGATGAAATGATATTGGTTCAGTTGATTGGCAGCTCCAGAATCAAGCCCCCATGTTTTGCTGGTCCCCCTCGCTGTGTTGCAGGGCGCCTCGCTCCCTTCGCAGTCTCTCCACTAATACCATCTGCCCCTTTTGCGGCCGGAGCTCCTCCCATCTTCCTGTTGCCAGAGAAACAGCCACCTTGGCAACCTGCTGTCATCCTTGAAACACACATGGAAAAGTCCTCCTGATTGTTATGTTTGATCCTTCAGGCAGATCTGGAACATCACTCAGACCGACACGCATCTCCTGTGACACCATTACCTGGGGGACCAGCGGGTGCATACGCGTGTAGGCCGTGTGTGTGTGTGTTTCTCTGCGTAGCTGTGTGGGACCATGGATGTGTTTGAAGGCCTGGGAGTGTATTGATTTTTTTATTGTTATTCTTTGCTCACTCTAAGAAGAAAGGAGCGTTCTGGCTTGGAAGAAGCCCCAAACAATAAAGAGAAATCGTGTCCAATGTAGGGTTCCCCATTTTTGACAGCCTCTGTGCTTCAGGACCTTCAGCCTCACCTCTCTTCTCACCCTTGTGTGCCCAGAATAACCATGGGCAAGAGCCTGTGGGTGGCAGGCACCTCAGCAGTCCTGGGTGAGGCAGAGCACTGCCGGTTACCTGTGGTGCACAGTATCCTTTCATGTGGCAGAGGGACCTTTATTCTGCATTCTGGGACAATTTGGAACAGAGGGAGGCAGGAGCATTGGCATTGTTCTCCACTGCCTTACACAGGGTAGGTAGCATCAAAGCCTGTCTCTGTGAGCTTGAAACAGGAAGAGGATGCAGCTGTACTGTAAAGATTTCAGGGGAAAAAGTTTTTATTTCTGCCCAAGTTCAGGTCAGGAGCTTCAAAATTTTGAAGATGGCAAGGGTTCCTAAAAAATGTCAGACACAAGATGGGGAACAACACAGTGGGCAATTAGATGTCTTAAACCTAAGTCATTTATTTGACCCCTACTCTCTTCTCTCTTCCCTGTGCAGTGCCTGGATTTGCAGCAAGTTGACGTCTATTCTATCCTCGAGAACAACACTAACGACCAGACACCCAGAAGGACTCCTTCAGGGAAGGTAGGGGCTGGGGCCTTGTCCTGGGAGAGTTCTCTTATATGCTGGGAATATGGAGAAAGAAAATGCACAGAGTCATCATGGCCCTAGCAGGCAGTAAGTCTGTCTGCTCTTTCCCCACTTCCAGTCCCACTAAAAGGGGGAAATGGGACGTGGCATCCACTCCCCAGCTGGGCTGCACGTGTTGCCCGTCTTCCGTCTTCCGGCACAACGCTTGCTCCTGCAGTGCTACCAGTTCTGGCAGTCTCGATTTCATGTAGATGCTTTGCTGTGTGACACATCCCAAAAGGCATTGAGGAGTTTGGCATCGCTGCTTGCGCTGAATGGGTTGGATGCTTATGGAGAGGTGGGCAGACGCTGGCCCTTGGTGTTGCCCTTTCCAGATTATTTAGGCAGCTGAGAAGTCCTCCTGGGTAGAGGAATCTATGCACTGGGGGCAGACTGGACACAGCTTTGCTCTCACCGAGATTAAGCACCTGAGAGTCATTCATGGTAGCAGAAGCTAAGATGTTCTGAACAGAGGCTGGGCTGATACAGTCTCTGTCAGTGCTGGGGCTCAGGAAAAGGCAGCATGGGTACATTTTGGGCTTGGATCTTCTAGCTGGGCTGGGAGTTATGAGTTAGAGACAAGGAACTAAATCCACTCATAGTGAAAGTAGCAGCAATTCAGAATGTGCAGGCGCAGATCAGTTGTGGGGGCTACATGAAGCAGCCCAGAGGTGCATGCAGACCTCTACCCTGCCTGTGGCAGGCATCCGCAGTTTCACAGGGACACAACTTGCATCAGGCACCCCAGGGAACTTTTCCTTCCTGCCCTCAGAACTTTGTTGTTCTTTTCCCCTCCAGACCTCTTATCTGCTTTAAAAATATATTCATTCTTCTAACATTGGATAATGTTCCTGAAAAATGTCTTGCTTCTTCCCACTGACGTCCTGCTGGGGAGGGTTCCCCAGGTTGGCTATGCAGTATGGAGCATGGTGCCAGCTTCATCCCTCTGTTTCATGAAGGATGATATTTTCCAGTGTCTGAGGCACTTTCACAACTCCCACCTTTTAGGAAAAGGTGGTCTAAAATCAAGCAGTGCCCTCTGTTTCAGAGCTATCTTTTGGTCTAGTCCCATGGCCACTGGCCTCTTACTGCTGTGGCACCATAGTGGTTGGTGGCAGCAAAGGCAGTGGCAGGTATCTGATCATTGAAGGAATGGATGGGTTGTTTTATATAGGCTGTCTTATACCCCAGTGCATCATATGCACTGGAAAAGACAACATCCCTGGTTTTGTGTTCTTGCTGCATTTTTAACTAGTTGGATAGGGAGAACAGTGGGTCCTGATCCCTCTTCCCTGTCCTTTTTATTCTTCTGCATACCTTCATCAGCTGCCCACTTTGAAACAATACAGTCTGGATGATGAGGTGCAGTATATGTGTTTTTTTTTCCCTACTGTGGAGCTGTCTGGGCTGTGCTGAATCACTTGTGTGTGGCCGACACCACTCAGCTGCTGTTTTGGGGGGACAGCAGATCTGTAAAACGGAACAGGAGCAAAGCAACAAGGCAAGAGCAAAGGAGCATTTGTGTGCAAGCACATCTGGTGCTGGTAGTCTCAGCCAGGGTGGAGTAAAGGTTGAAGCAGAGATGGGAGAAACAGAGAAGAAAACAAAGAGAGGGAATAGGATGAGCTCTCACCCCAAAGCCAGACATCACTGAATGAACAGTGGCTGACTGATGTGGAGGGTTAAGGACAGCCATTGGTGCGGGATGCTGCATGTAGAGGAGGGAGCTGTAAAGGGAAGGGGGCAGAGAGCCCCTGAAACAAGAGCATTTGCATGCTGTTGCGCTGCACTGTCAGCCAGCTTGGGTAGCGAGGGGTTAATCCCGCACGCTTTGGAGGTGCCTGCACTCAGCACTTTTGTAAAATGTTCCCTTTTTGTGGTGGCAACAGAGAAAATGCTAGTGTAGGTAGGGCTTCATTCACCCGGTGGCATTTCAGCTGCTTGCTGTGTAACCTTGCTTACAGCAGGCCTGTGCCACACAGCGCTTAAAATATCAGTCTGTCAGCGCCTTGTCTACACAAGGAACGGTTGTGAGGAATAGACTCAACTGTTGAAGAAACAGGATTGAGGAGGTCAGGGAATTCCTCCTTCACAGAATCCAAAGTGATTTATTTTTTTACCAAGTCAAATTTTCCCTCCCCTCCCTGTCTGACAGCTTTTTGGGGGAAGAATGACAAGTAAAGGAGGCATCTTTATCCCTTGGGCTGGATTAATCACGTTCGTCTGTGGCGGAGCAACATTTCTCACTGTAGTGGCTCCCGTTTCAGCAGATCACTTATAGCCATTTCTGACAGAACAAACGTCAGTGTCTGCTTATTAAGAATTAATTCATTTTCTTTTGAATAATTTTCCTCCATTTCTTTTTTCTCCTTTTCATCACTCTGCAGACACCTAAGAAGCAAGGAAGTCTAGAAGAATCCTTTGATACTTTGTATGAGAATATCTAACAGGGAAAATGTGACCCTGTGTGGACCAGGCATCTTTCTGTATGGCAGAACTACTCTCTTACATCCCCAGTTCTCTGCAGAGATCCACAGCGACTTCAGGGCACAACCACGAGGGACTTGTGAACCCCTGGCTCTTTCCAAACTGCTCTTCATTAACAATAGAATGCATCTGTTCAAACCCCACTGGGGTTCAGTCTGCACTGATGCAGCAAAGCAGTTTTGCAGCAAAGCCGTTTGATGCAAAAGAAAAGCTGCTTTTGTCAAGCACACACACATCTCTCGGAAATGGTGCAGATGAGATCTGTGCAGGTCCCTCTCACCTGGCCTGGCTGAATTACTTAAATCTCTGTAAATGATAGGACAAGCCAGAGACCTCCCTGCTTGCTGGCTTGATCTTCCCATCCTGACCTGCAGCAGTCCATCTGATCCTACGCCTATGGCTTTCCTGACACAGACATCAGGCCTTCATGCGTAGTTTAACTGAAATCCAAGCATCCACCTGCCCAGTTTTCCTTTCTCAGGAACCCCACGGTGAAACATGCATTCTCATAATCTGCTAATCCCATCAAGTAGTCACAGATGCCTGCTGTGACCATACTCAGTCGACTCAAATCAGTGCCTCTGAGTAAATGGTTTCCCTTCAGCAATATCAGCAGTATACAGTGCGGACTGGATGTGCGGCCAGAGATAAAGATGGAGAAAAAAGGAATGGAGAAAATATCCCTGCCTGGCAACATGTTTCAGTGGCAGTGCCCTTTCTGGAACAAGGAAGAGGAACAAGGAGGTGGGAATCCGAGGAAACTCCCTTGCTGGGGCTGTGTAAGCCAAGTGCGTCTGGAGCCAGGTTCCAGCCCAGAGAAGATCAAGCCAAGCTCCCCAATTTCCTGTTCTTCTTGGCAATGGGCACTGTTATTGCTTGGGATTTTGAGCCTCTGTGGGAGCAGGCATGGTACCTCTGCCTGTCCCAAAAAACCCCAATAGGTTTGCCTTTGTTTTCAGCTGGCCAGTATTTCCCAACAAGGGAATAAGTTTATAAGGCTTCTTTACCCCCACACATTATTTAGCCATGTAGACCAGTTCTGAAACTTAGAACGACTGGAGAGAGGAGGGAGGCCCTAGAGGTGAATTTTCTCTCCAGGCTCTTCTCTCTACTGTCAGCTGGAACTTGCCTACCATTTGTGCTGATGCATATTCTAGTTCTGATAGGGAAGAGGTTACATTAAATATCCATGTAACATGATCAAACCAGTGGATCAAAAAGCTGGGGTTGTTTTATCTCAGATTAAAAAAACAACAACAAAATAACAACCCAACAAAACCAACCCAAAATAAGAATATGCAGCATAACTGGAGACGAATCAGAGAAACCTCTTTAAAGAAGAAGATCAAATTAAAATTGAGCTCCAGGGTCATAGGACCCTCTCTAGTTGAAGATAATGTTGCTATGCATCAGAGATAGAGGCTATGGAAAATGTCTCCGGGGCCTCCAGCCTTCCTATACTATGTTTAAAGAGATAATCCGCTTATTGCTTTGCTCTTTTTATTAGAAGAGATTTCAAACATGCAATTTGGACTTTCTTTAACCACAGGAAAATTCTTTTTCTCTTCCCAGTGTCGAGGAATTTATTTCAGAAAGAGCAATGAATAGACAGCACGGCTTATTAGACCCGTTCTCCATTTGTTAAGTGATTGCGACAATTAGAAATAAATATTTTTGAAGTCAGCAATTTAAGTGTTTGCTAATATGACCATAAAATTTTGCGTTCACAGAAGAATTTAGAGAGGATTGTACAGGTATAACAACTCCCCTCCTTAACAAATTCAAAGAAATGATGAGATGAATTATAAATATGCTGCAGTATGGCAATAAAATATTCAGCAGAAACTGCTGGATTAGATGAAAAGTGAAAACTTTCCAAATAATGCTACTTAGTTTTGTGTTTTGCTTTTTAAATGTTATAAATACTAAAAATACTGTGTGCCACTGAAAATTTCCTGGTGAGGATCTCACTTTGCAGTGAATTGATTTGTCTTTTCTTTCTGCTACTTTCTACTACTTTCTGCTATTTTCTTTAAATTGTCCATTTCTTACATTTATGCCTGAACAATTCTATATATTAAGTAGCTGAAGCTATTGAAAATGAAACATAAGAGGAAGAATGGTATTTGGAATAGAAAAGGCTGTTCTAGAACAGTCAGTGCTGAAGTACTGGAAGATTCACACCAGGTTCTGATCAATTGAGTGAAAAAGGAAGAATTTCCAAGAAACACTGGCAAGTCTGGGGATTTGGGCTGTGCACCAAAGCTTGCCAAAGTTGGGGGAGTCGCTGTGTTGATTTCAGTGGGTTTCGGATTGGCCCTGCAAGGGTAAAAAGCTGCTGCATGAGAAAAAGGAAGTTTTGAAGCTACATAGCCACAAGCTATATCACTTCTTTGGCATCATGTGCCAGGAGCAGCTGCAGTAGCATCAGAGTGCATGAGAGAGAGAAAGGTATAAAGCAGAAGACTGTGAGAGCAGGGATGTTTTTAAATAATATGGAGTTTTCCAAGGAGGTATGAGGAAATGCCTGCAGGCACAGGTAGGAGAGACTACGAAATACAGTTTATATAATATTGGTATAGCTATGTCGTAGCAGAGATTTGTTCGGGAAAAAGACAGTCACTTGGTCTTTTTGTCTTACTTGGCTCTATGGCCCATGAGAATAGATGCAGAAAATGAGTGTTTTTAGCGAGAGGAAAGGACTTCATTTTTAAATGTTGAGCAATTGAAAAACAAAAAAGACAAAAAAAAGAGCTAAATTAGGGGTTGGCTCCACTACTTCCACAAGGCTGAGAGGTGACGACTGGCTTGTTGTGTTCACTCCACACGTTTTGCTAAGCCACTGTCCATCACATCTAAGAAATACCGTGGTAGTCCAGTGAAGTTCCCGCTGGCTGGAAAAGGGGGAACATAATCCCTGTTTTTAAAAAGGAACACCCAGGGAGCTACAGGCCAGTCAGTCTCACCTCTGTGCCTGGCAAGGTCATGGAGCAGATCGTCCTGGATGCTATGCTAAGGCACACAGAAAATAAGGAAGTGATTGGCGACAGCCAACATGGCTTCACTAAGGCCAAATTGTGCCTGATAAATTTGGTGTCCTTCTACGACAGCGTTATAGCGTTGATGAATAAGGGAAGAGCAACTCAAGTCATCTACCTGGACTTGTGCGAAGCATTTGACACTGTCCCGCATGACATCCTTGTCTCTAAATGAGAGAAACATGGACTTGACGAAGGAGCACTCAGTGAATAAGGAATTGGCTGGATGGTTGCACCCAGAGACTTGCGGTGTTGAATGATCCCTTTGTATTGACAGGATTGTGGGGAAGTGGAGACCCAGTATCAAAGCAGCAGCGGTGTGAGGTGGAAATGCGCTGCTTGCCTTCTTCTAAAGGAGGTGCTGTGTTAGCACAAGGATCCTTTGCCCTCTCCACCAGGTGTGAGCCTTTGGTCCTGGGAGATGCAGTTTCTCACAGTGATCATCCTCAATGTGTTGTCTTAGCTGGCATTGCTGCAAAGGATGCTGATGATACTGAGGTCATCTAGTCCCTTTAAAACAACTCCTTCACGATGCTTTACAGCAAATCCAAATTTGAGAAGGCAAAAACCAGAGTGCACTTGAGTGGTTCATTGGTTTGTTGGGTTCATCCTTTTCTGCAGAGGGCAAGCTCTAGTATGGGGACTGTTCTGTAGTATAAAACACACCAATGATATTTTGCTTTTATCTGTAGAGAAGAAAGACTTGCTGTGGTGGGTAACGACAATGAAATGTATGTCCAACATGTAGTTCAAAGTGTTCTCCATTGCTTCTGTCTTCTACTCTTCTTTTCCTTCTCAGGAGTCTCACTACTGAAAATCATCTGTAAATACCCAGCTAGGGCTGGTTCTTCATCAGGGGAGGTGCTTGCCTGAACAGCACCCAAGTGAAATGGTTATTACTGCTCTGGTTTGCACCGCTGTCCCACCCAGCAGTGCCCTCAGGGTGTGCAAGACTGGACTGAGGGCAGGGGTCTCTTCTTCCTGCTGGTGTTTCTTCAGTCCTTGGCCACGCAATACGGTGACCCTGTGAGACAGGGATTTAGGGAAGGCAGTGAGTGAAGCCACCAGATGGTGCCCTAGGTCCTCTCTGCTCCCTTCCCTGTCCCCTGCCTGCCCACATCCCCCTGCCAGCTCCCCTGGTGGCCCACAGACCACAGACTCCCGGAGGTGGGCACCTACAGCCATGCAGAACGTCTCCAGCCACGATTGTCTTCTGCTGCTGGGGTTGCTGCCTCTGGCACCCCTCACAGCTCTGCACCATGGTGCCACCAGCACCTGTGAAGAAATGGGGACAGGACAGGTTCCCCTCCTTTGATCCATGAAACCTGGAGAAATAGCTTCATTGGACACCAGCCCATGTGAGAAACAGGAGAGTGGCAGCTGACACCATCATTGGGTCAGACTGGCACCTGAAATGCAAAACTGACCATACGTTGGGGTTTGCTTGGAGCTGCCACCACTCTCTTTCACCATTTGGAACTGGCATCTTATCTTAAGTTTGGGAATATTTGCTGTGTTTCGATGGTGAAAAAATCCTTTGCAGCGTATGGTGCTCCTCTTTTTTGCTGTGTCAGGAAGCTGATGAAGACTCAGATACTGCTCTTCATGTGTTTTGCGATTCTGTGGTGGTCAAGATTTGCTATCCAGAGTGAAGTATCATTAAGAGTTTGTAAATAAAAAAGGAGAAGGTCAGAGAGTACCAGTGACTACCTGATTTCCAAGGGAAGAGGAGAATATGAACCCTCAGTGTTTTCTCTTGCTTGATTCTAGGGCAAACCACTCTCCACTGACTGTCAGGGATACAATGTTTTTCTTTGTTAACGATAACATAGAAATGCAGGTTACTATTAGTAACTAGTATGTTACTAGGTGCTTCACTATTAATAGCCAGGCCTTTAAGCTGCCACACTGTCACAAGCTGT